ACAAATATTATATTAATGTGATATAATATATTATACAATATTAATATAATATTGTACAATACAGCGTGTCGTTACCATCGCGAAAATAAATGAACACACATATAGGGGATAACTTTTTAAAGTTATATTAAACATTTAAATTCTTTAAACATCATCATTTACACAGTTATTAAATTTTCCAAAACAAAGAATTTTAGAACAACCTTACCTATAAAAGCGTAACGTAAAGTTCATTTGTAAAGGTCACAAAGCATATGAATGGGTTGAATGAATTTAAAAGAGACAAAACATACTGTTAGAAGGAGAAGCTTGTAATACGACGCTGTGGCGCGAGTTGTATAGGGTGTTACAAATTTTGTTTCTTTTTTACTTAATTAGTTTGTTTGAAAAATATTTTTTTTTTATTATGGATTTTGTTTAACGTTAATAGTTTTTTATGATTATTGGCAAGTAGCGTTAGACGTATGTTCATTTATTGTCGCGATGGTAACGACACGCTGTATATTATATAATATTAATATTATATTAATCTTCATTCAAATTTATTTAAGAATGTTAAATGATAAAAAGGATGATGACTACTTTTGAATCATCTTCATCATCATCCTTTTCATGTTCATTCCAAAACCTCATATTTTTGTCAATAGGCATCTGACATGATATTATTACCATAAAAAAATATTCTAATTAATTAAGCCAGCTGCATACATGGAGTTCTAAATAAATACTTAATTTTATTCAAATAATATAAAAAATAAAGAATTTGTTTTTTTTATTCGACTTAAACTGCAGCTTTAGCTAATTCTTGTGTCTTTAGGGATGAAATTGTGTTGTCATTTATACTACAGTAATAAAATCCATGCAAATACAACAATGATAGAACTCCTTCGCTGCTTCGGCTGATTCATGAACTGTCCAACTGGATTAGGGCAGATATCATAGAAGGCCGAGTATTTATACTATTATATTTCATTTGATTAGTGAGGTAACACAAAGCCCACAATTTTGTCTTCCCTTTTAAGCAAAAAAGCAAGCAAAACTAAAGGTTGACCATAAATTTAAGAAACAACATAAATCTTGTAAAATCTAAATTACTTCCTCCACTTGTGTAGGTTAAACTATTCATACCGGTTATCTAATGTTTTTTTTTTATTGATGAAAAGAAAACGTATTTATGTCACCATTGCTATGCTCATTGTATATGTTCTGGTCTTATTACTTCATAACATTGTATTTAACGGTAATAATTTTTGTAGCTCTCAAACAAGCTGATAACAGACAAACCTTTAGAAATCTTTGGTCCTTGGCAAGTGCAAGATTATGAACCACCTATAGCCGAAAATGGTATTGTTCCAAGGAATGCTTACGGAAATGTTGAGCTATTTAAAGAGTGTATGCTTCCCAAAGGCACAGTACATATTAAATGTAAGTGATTTACGTATGATCAGTTATACAGATGGCAAAAATAACATCAAAACAAAGTATCTTAAAACAGGAAATTTGGTGTATTGTTTGGAAAAATAATAATGCAGTTGTGTTGACGAACAGAATTAAATTATGTTTTTAGTCATAGATATACCCTATAAGTCTATTCGCATACATTTTTTGACTACTTTATAGGTCTTTAAAATGTTACTCATATTTACTTTTGCCTTATCTTTCCGTAAAACCTGTTTTTTTATGACAAAAGTTGGCAATTAAGCAGATGGTTCATCTGATATGGTAAGTGATTTACTGCTGCCCATGAACATCCACAATACCAGAGGTGTTGGAGGCGTTAGCTGCTAGTCTTAACTAAAGTGAGCCCGGGTTATTTAACATTTAAATTATTTAACTCCCCAGACGAAACGCGAAAGTATAGTATCTCCTCTTCATTGAGGTCTTCTATGCTTTGTTTGCTATGCTATGTTTGTGCAACAAAAGCAGTTTTGTGACCCCTACAATAGGGAATTTACATAACATTATACATAATGTCAAATATTATTTGACATTATGAGATAATAAAATACATTAAATTTGTTTTCAGTACCTGGATTAAATAGAATAGCAAAGAAGTTGAATATTGACTGTGCTCCTGCTATGACTGGTTTCGACTTCAATGGAGGATGGTCACATCCTGTATTTGAAGGATTTGTAGTTTGCAAAGAGTTTGAGGAAATCATAAAAGAAGCTTGGGTTAAGGTATTTTTGTTTTTATTATTTTATATCTTTGCTCAAATCTTTTTCTAGGAGTCTACTACCTTTACTGTTAAAGCTGCTATAATATTCTTTAGCAAGCCATAAACATTTTAATTATAATTACGTTTTCTAAATTTCATATTTATTTGAAAAGAATTGCAATTGCATTTTACATTGCATTAATAAATTTAACTCAATAGGACCAAGAAGAACTAGAACGTAAGGAAAGAGAAAAGATAGATACAAGAGTGTATGGAAACTGGAGAAAACTTATAAAAGGATTGCTAATTCGGGAGCGACTTAAGATTAAATACGGTTTTGAAGATCCTTGCACCTCTCAAAATAAGAAAAAACCTAAAGCTCCACGTTTGGTTGTGAAGAAGACAAAGTAGCTACGATTAGGTTTTAAAATGTGACTTTAAACCTATATGAAACCTTTTACATACTACCAGTGTTCATTTTATACATAATTTTACAACATATGGACACCTTACAAAATTCTAGAAATGTATGATCATGGGTTCCAATATCAGTGCCATTTAATATTTCCTTTGCATGTTACCTTTTTTTTAAAGAAATACTTTTTTGGTGTCATTTTGGTGTTATTTTGGTGAAATTATAATGAAAACAGTAAAAACCAATGCCTGTTTTCACCATTGAACCCTGAACTTAAGTAAGTGCCAGATTCGTTTTCAAGACCACTTAAGTGTCACCTAAAGTTTTAAGCGTGACACTTAAATGGTGGTGAAAACGAAACTAGCACTTAATTTTTTTAGGTGGACCTTAAAGTTAGAGATTGATGGAGAAAACGGGCATAAGTATCTGATATATATATACATCAGCTATAATGATCATGTGATATTTTACCTGCAAAAGTTGTACCTTTATGTTTATTCTATTTATATTTTTACTTTATTGTTAAACTGGAGAAAACAATAAAATTGTCTTCATAAAACTAAGTTATAAGCAAGCCATGTTGGATTATTTAGTTATTCCATAACTTTATCAGGTATTTTATTGAACAGTCTTTTTATCAATAATGCTTAGGGTTGTCCCAAAATGAAACCTCTCATTCCTTAAGGATTTTAATCTATGCGAATAATCGTAACTTGTTGTGTGATTAAATCACATATTAATTTTAAGTTAGTATTAGGATTCTAATTTTAAGTATCAGAGGCATGGACTAGATAAATAACAAGATTCCGCGCTACGTACACTGATAGTGAGACAGTAAGTAAGTCCCACCGCTTGTACATACATGCCTCGCGCACACATTTATATTTTACATCATAGTAAGCCGATCCCCTGCCATTATGCTGTTTACGTTAAATTTTTAAAAATAAATAATTGTCATCTTATGTTGTGAAATTGTGTACAAACAAAACTGTATCCCAGAAAACACAGTTATGACGCTAATTTGACTGGTTGATCTATTGTATTTTATCACTCGCACATAGATCGTAAGAAGCCTCACTGTAGAGATATTTGGCGCGGAGTCCTGTTATTTTTCTGATCCGTGGTCAGAGGATTGGTTATTCTGAATTATAAAAGTAATTGTCTCGATTTTTAATACACATTTAGGATAAAATAAAACAAAATGAATAAAAACACACCATACCATATTCTTTCTTATTCAATGTAAATCATATAACCCGAAATAGATTGATTTATTTATTTTTGTTACCTTTTTGGCTCATTTTCATTACTGAGATATTTATATTTAAATTTACTTGCTGGAAAACGTTAAAACAAATTTTGTTCCAATAACATATATCTGAATAACTTAACTATTATTTTTATTTATAATGAATTATTGTTTAACATACAGAAATGTCATAATCATTTCCGTCATGCTGTGAATATAACCATTTCTATAAAAGTAACATGGATTTTTTTATCCATCAAAATATTAAGTTACATGTATTCCACTGTGATTTTAAATGTTATTGTACCGTCTTACTACCATGTTTATGTGTAAATCAATTGATTGTATTGATTTTGCATGTCACAATTTGAGCATAAGCTTATAATAAAGTCTTTAATTCTAATGTGTTGTCATTTAGGTTGTTGAAAGAAAAAAATTAAATTTGTTTATTCATTTATTTAATATGAAAGTAATGACAAATACTGCCACAAGATCTGCAATAAGCTGATGTAATTTATATATAATTTTAGCATGTTATTATAGCAAAGCCTTAAAGCGTTTAGAGTTAACTCTAGCACAGCTTATTGCTGTTTATAAGTGAAATGACGAATTATTATATACAAAATCTTTGGTGTATAAAAATATGTATATCCACTTCAGATCTTTGGGATAAGATCTGGTCGGTCGAAAGGATCGCAATTAAATGCAATCTTTATCCGTGTTTACAGGATAGTTCTTATTCCTACCTACATATCACTTAGTGATATTATAGTAGGTAGGAAATCACAATGCCATATTTTTGTTTTTTAGAAGTATTTTTTATTTCTTTTTTACTGTATATAAGTCCTTATATACCTACAAAATATCTATTAATCTTTTCTATGTATCTTATTCTACATATTTTATGATGAATTTATAAACTAAGGGCCCAGACACATTCATCATAGTTCATACGTATTGTGAAAGGAATGTCACCTTTAATTTATACTATTCTATCATAAAATATTTGATCTTATGTCTATCGTTATTGCCTCTCCAAGTCTCTTTGAATATCAACCATAATTAAAACCAGTTTAATATACGGTATGATTAAGGTAATTTGTAACTGATAAATTGATTCCTTCATGCAGTCCTCTGCATGTGTGAATTCTATAAAGCCCAGCTTTATAGTCTATTAAGCCATGGTTAATGTGCCTGCGCCCATTCCGAACCCAACTCCCTTAGGTCCGAAGTTGCGGCCATAGCAGCTGCGGCAGTAAATTTCGCCATTGGGACCATCGTTCAGGTTGGTAGAATCCTGGAATCAAAATAAACCATACATATATTTTGTAAGTTACAAAGGCTGCTAATATCGAAGATGTTAATTTTATGTTCCGGGGAGTGTCTTGTTTTGTTTTGTTCTGCCTAATTTTAAACGGTGAATATTTATGTCATTTGTATTAAAAATGCAATAATGTGCTAAACAAGAATTTCTATGTAGTAAATTCAAAAAAGTAAAGCAGTTTAAAAATTAACATGGCAACATGTATGTATTATGTCATCAGGATCTGGTACGGTAGATACGGTTAATAAAAAAAAGTTTCATCAATTTATGATAGGGATTGCACAAAGTAAAAAAAAATATCGACGTAACTATATTTATAAAAATAGTAATATCGGCCTAGATATATCGAAGAGAAAATAGCGATATATCGGAAATAGTCCTAGAAACCTTTGGCAAAAAAAAGGTATGTCGAAGTAAAAAAGTAAAGTAATAGCCTATACATATCCCATAGCTGAGCAAAGGGCCTCCACAGTACAATGAGTACTAGGGCATAGTCCTCCACGCGACCCAACTGCGGATTCGTGGACTTAATAATCTTCGAATTTTTTTATGATTTCGAAAATATTCAGGTTTCCTCACGATGTTCAACTCTGAGCACGTGATAAGACAGCACTTAAAATTAACAATTTCATTGGTGAGCTCAGGTTGCTAGAGTAGCTATGTTAAATTAAATTAAAGGCGCGCTCCCTATCACGGCAAGGTATGTCAAGTATTAAATATTTGACAGCTACGGACTCTAATTTGGAAAAAAAATCGTTTTTGATACGATTTCGATATTGAATATATTTTATCAAAATATATCGGCTAAAAATATAGATATATTTTATAAATAAAAATATCGATATATTTTATAAGTAAAAATATCGATTATCGATATATAGATATACAGATATTTTTTCGGCATCCCTACGATGTCTGCACTTTTGTAAATTTATTAATTATTACCTATATATTTTGTCCCTATTTAATTATTATTTTATATTTTTAAAGTGTTTCGTTACTATGGATAATTTGAAAATAATCTTAACGTTTTTAACATTGGTAAGTGTACAACAATGTACAGCGGAATTTTCGACCGAAGATTGTGCATCCCTTGGATTCATTAAAGCTAACCTTCTATGCTCTTCCTGTGACCAACTTAAGGATTTTGGCCTAGATGACTTGGTCGATCACTGTAAGGAATGCTGTCATAATGATGAAAGTGCTCCAAATGAGAAGAAATATGCTCGGGCGATTCTGGAAGTTTGCACTTGCAAATTTCCAGCTTATCCACAAATTCAAGCTTTTGTGAAGAGTGACAGACCAGCTAAATTCCCTAATTTACAAATAAAATTCTTGCGGGGGCTGGATCCTATCATTAAACTGCTTGATAAAGATGGCATTGTAAGAGATACTGTTGCTATTGAAAAATGGAATACTGATTCTGTAGAAGAATTTTTGAATACTCATCTTGAAAAAGAAGAAGATGATGACCGTAGTTATTTGAAAACAAATCAAATATAATTCAATACTTCTACACTTACAAGAGACTTGTGGCACTCCGCGCATGAGAAGCATCTTCTGTGCCATGTGCCATTCTTAGAATGCATCTGTTCCGCAGCATATACTGGGAATCCACAGCGTGGGCAGCCTTTTCCTTTAGCTGCCTTTTGTCCAGTGAAAGGAAGTTGTTCAGTGCTGTGAAGAAATAATAAGTTTGTATTGCATGAAACTTCAATTTTCAATTCATTTCAGAAACAATAATTTTCTCATGTAAATAATTGCATAAGCATACAATAAATTAAGTTTTTAATAATTCATAATTTTTTTAGTTCTTAATCCTAATGTAAGCCAGATCTAGGCCCATCTCTGCAAGACCTGAAAATTCTATTTTGTTTTATGTGAAAGTTGGAACAGGAAAAGGCAGTTTACCTGATTATGACTGATTTCTGTTGCCCATGCACTACCACACCTGACGGGTTGTAGATATAGTGCCAACATTAAGGTTTAAATAATGGCTAGAATTTTCTTCAACTTAAAATAGTTAAAAGGACATTTTTGTGTTTATAATTATGTCTTTAGTTTATATACTTCAAATGTAATTTTAATAAAAAAAACTTACTATGTGATGGTGGGCTCGGAATCTGTGGACACCAGAGTTGGAGCATGGCCATAACCAAAGCCTCTGGGTCCGAACAGTTTAGCGTAACATGAACGGCAGTGAATTTCCTTGTCAGGGCCATCACAAGCCAACATAGAGTCCAAGGGACGGTGACACTCAGCACAATTAAAGCATTTCTTGTGCCACATCTGTACCAAAGAGAAAAATTATTAGAATATTTTTTTATATTGAAACTCCATAGATATAATATGATGTAAATGATAATTAGCACATTTAAAATAGTAAATGTATTTATATCACTGTGGTGATTAGGTGAACTTATCTATTATGATACTATAACAGCCGCTAATATAGATACTTATATATAGACTCCATGCTACTGTTTAACAGATACTCATTCTAAACTCTCTTTGCAATACATTTCTGACAGTTATCAATTTAAATTGCTACTTCAGATTCACTTTTCACTATTCACAGCTTTGCATAAATAATTGCCTAAAAATTATTATGATGATTAGGTAATGTGTAGACTCACAGTTCCTTTAGCGAGTTGTTGCTCAGCGGCGAACACCATGCCACCGCAGCGTGGACAGCCTTGGCCCTTAGGAGCCTTGATGCTGGTGGTGTCCGGGTTGTAGTATGGACGGTTAGCAGAGATCTCTTCCTCGCTGTTACATAAAATACATAATTAATTACATTCTTAATAAGATTTATTGAAAATATATACATTCATATATCGGGATTCATATTCGGTGACTCCGTGGCGCAGTCGGATTCGGCGTCGGGGGTCGTGGGTTCGATTGCCACACGAGAAAACTATTTGTGTGACCCACAGATAGTTGTTTCGAATCTAGGTGTTTGTCCATGTGAATTTATGTATGTAAAACGTCCTTGCAACACAGGACAATATTATCCTAAAGTGAGGGCAATGTTTTAAAAAAAATAAGAAAAAATAAGTCGATTATACAGTTTTACCCTTTTTATTTGTATTTTGTGTTGAGGGGTTTGGATAGTAAGTCACAACGACCACTGCGACCTAGACCTAGTAGTCTTGTGAGTCAAACAAACAGTTGTCTCGTTTGGGTATCGAATCCACGACCCCCGGTGCCAAAGAAAATACCTTGGCAACTGCACCACGGAGTCATCAATTTTACCCTTAATACATAAATAACTTACCTTAGGCCGTCAGTTTGTAAGAAGCCAGAGCCGCACGCGAACCCGTAACCATGCGGTCCCCATTTCTTCCCGTAGCAGGTTTTACAGTATACCTCAGAGTCGGGACCGTCGCAAGCGATGATCGAATCAAGGGTCTTCGTGCAGTCGCGACACTTGAAGCATTTGCGATGCCATTCGCGTCCTTTGGCCAAGACCTGTTCCGCAGCGTAAACAACGCCACCGCAACGCGGACAACCCTTTCCAGGCGGGGCTTGAATGGCAGCAGTGTCGACTACCGTTGTTTTAGGAGCATGGTCCCTATAAAGAATTTTCTATGGTAAAAAAAGATTTTATCTATGATGAAGCCCTCTGGTATTTATATCGTATATTAAGTCCATCTATTGTAATAAGGATTAAGATTATATCATAGTTTATCGAATTTATTGACGTATCGTAATTTATATCTCTATTAAAGTAAGCAGACATGTCATCCCTTATTCTGCAATCATTGCCATCCATGGTTAATTGATATTTCATAATTAAATTAATCTTCTCAAACGCCCTTTAAGTAGCGCCAAAATTGAATTTAAGTTTAACAGTAGCGCGGTCAGTCTTGCCCACATTAAAATTAGTCTGCGAGAGCGGAGAGCGCGTTCTATTTTAAAACTGGCGTGATGCCATCGCTTGTTTGTATTATAAGCTTGTTTTTATGAAAGTGACTGCGGGATGGAAATAATCCTGTCTTGTAATCTGAGAACTTAAAAACGTAATAAGTAGCATGTGGAAAACATGATGCTATGATTTCAAATAAAACGGGGTAAATAGAAAGTGACGTAGATACAATCAACGGAGTATTAAGAAAGATATTGTCCGTTCATGAGTACTTATAAATATAACATTCTCTTTACATAATCTGTTTAATTTTTCAAAAAATATTATATGACAAATAGATCTTACCCATTAGCGTAAGGGTCGCTCTGTAGAACACCGGCTCCTTTTCCGTATCCATAACCCTTGGGACCGAACTTCTTTGCATAACAAACTAGAAGAAAAATGTTTAATAAGAAAGACGGAAGATTTCTAAGCTTTAACAAAATATAATTTCCTTTAAACTTAAGAAAATTTCTTTATGACTCGGCGATGCAATACAAAAATGTAGGAACGAACCTTTGCAGTAAATATCTTTGTCCGGCCCTTCGCAACAGTTTGTGGAGTCCAGTCGTTTTAAGCAGTCGCCGCATTTGAAGCACTCCTTGTGCCACGCCTGGACATACATTGAACAGTGAAGGTGTGAAGGAAGACGCATGCAGAGCCAAAACTATTAGGGGCAAACTGTTATCACAATGACAACGAAAGTTAGGTCACAAACTGCTCTACGCTCGGGGGTCTTTCAGTTGGGAATGACAACGTTCAAATACCTCGACAATATATCTCGTTGTCTGGCCCATCGCAATGCGTCATTGAATCAAGGCTCTTGTGGCAAGTTAAGCATTTGAAGCAGTGCTTGTGATAGCCCTACGATACAACAGTTTTATTTTCACTCTCGTTGCGCACAAAATAAATTATTAACTACAAAAGCTTGAGTCTTGGGAGTTTTTGCTGAACGTCATCGAGGGGTTAAAGTGTTTGCAACTTTCTGAACGTTCAATAGGGAAAGGCGTGCGCCATTTTATAGAAAAGCTCTTCAGGAAATGCATGTGTTGTACTTTAAATTTATACGATAGAAAACTCACCCTTCCGCGAGCTAACATTTGCTCGGCAGCGTAGACGAAGCCGCCGCAGCGGGGGCAGCCCTCGCCGGGCGGTGCCTTCGCTATAACGCGCGGTTCTAAACAGGCTCCATTGGTCCTTACGCCCCTGCACATACGGTTCAATTCATTCGTTGCTCTACCGGGGCCGATCCGGTCGAGCAACGACGACATAGGAAATGTTAAAAGCAATCGGGCATCGGAGCTCTCCAATCGCCCCTACTAATTATCCCACACGGATGGCGGCGAAGCAATCTTGGGCGGCGCACCTCCGCCGTAATGGGAGAAGGTAAGGCTCCCGGCCGCCCGCTCCGCACCGGCCCGTGTTACAGCCTCGCTTTACAGCCTAAGATTATCGACATAGAGGGCGCTTTCCTTATCCCATCACATGTATTAGCTCCGATCAAAGCTAAGACAAGCGTTAGCTGGTTGTTAGCGGGTATCAGTAATGCGGAAAGTTACGAGATAGAAAACAGTGCCACGAATTATTCATGCCTTAGGGTGCGTCCGGGGCGTTGCGAAGCCGTGCAGTGGCTTACATAATGTTCTCTCACCGTTGCTTCGCTGCGTATGGTCGCCCAGAAACGAGGGGAGGGGGGAGGGTAGTGGTCAGAGCTAGAGCGCGCTTGAGCCGGCGCGGGGGCCTGGTCTGCGTCACGAGCCCGCGCCGGCTCGCCCGCACCCCGACTCATCAATACAACTAACTCAGTATTGGTGGTCGACTCTTTTATTTTTTTTTTATATAAATAATAAATATAAGACCGATAAACAAATTAAATTAAGCGATAGCGAATAAATAATCCTAACTAAAGTAGTTTTAAAGTACAGTGGGCGTTCGCGGGGCGTCGCTGGTTGGCCGAGACGTGTGTCGGCGACCCGCTAGCTCTGCTGGACGGCCGCTCGCGCTCAATTCCTGTTGCGACATAAACGGAGACTGGTCATGCACGTGTCAGCCGACGCGTAATGTACAGCCGGGCGCGCTTGCTACTCTCTAAGACTTATGTACACGCTGTTAATGTTGTTACGCACGGGCCCGTAGGCCGGTCGTGGCGACCATAGATAAGGAAAGACCCTCAGTGGCGCGGGCGGCGGGAGTGCGCGAGATAGTGTACTTACGCGTTCTCTCCCTTCAGGTGGTCGCCAGTGTCCATGGACAGGCACCCAGCGCCACCGCCGAAGCCGTAGCCTTTGGGTCCGAATTTGCGCGCGTGGCAAACTTTGCAATACAGTTCACCCTCGTGCTCCGAGCAGTTGGTGGAATCCAGCAATTTCTGGCACAAACCTAAAATGTCGAGATAGTATCGTAACAGATTTCCGTTTTCGCTGCAAACGGTTATGTAATTCATAGTGGTAGTACTAAAATATGATTTATCATTCAAACTGACAGCTATGCAAATCGCAAGTTTAACTCTTTTATACGACTTGTAACAATTTTAAGAAAGAACGCCATGGATAATGCATGCATATGATTGATGTACTTTCCATTATTTAATATTTGTTCTAATAAAAACAATTCTTAACACACCATAAATATTTTCGTACATACGACAAAGGGTTTATTCTAGAAACATTTGGGTATTTATTTCAAAGACATTCTGTTAATTGTGGATTTGTTAACTTGCGATAGTAACGTAACCGTTAGATTTATTTATGAAATTTATGTCACCATCGCCTGCTATCGAATACCCTAATTGATATTTTGCTCCTGCTTTAAATGACGGCATATAAATAAATAATACTGACCGCATTTAAAGCACATCTTGTGCCACTTAAGTCCCCCAGCGACACGCTCTTCCGCCGCGTACACGGACTTGCCGCATTTCGGACACTTCGGGTTGTCTACAGGTTTGAAAGGCATTGTGCTCGCTTAACTTATCCTGGAAGAAATAAATATTCACATAAGTGTCTGCCTTTCCCTTACTCTATGCAAACAGCTTTTTTTTACTGCTAATGTTTCCCTTGCTAAACATTGAACACTGCTCATCGATCGCTAGTCCCACATTAGTGTCGATACGGATGCAACATGCGTAGGCGAATTGAAATTTGGCACTGTCACTAAAGGTTACTCGGCCAAATGGGAAAACTACAACACAATCTTTAATTCTTTTTACCGCAGCATAATTGCTTACTGAATCACTGTTCTGCGTAAGGTAAACAACCGGGGTATATTATCGTTAAAATGTCTGACATAATGCATTCTATTTAACGCAACGACCATTGGCAGTAATCCAAGTCGCCTGCAACACTTCAATTGCATCCGAACTGACACTATTTCCCAACAAGCACATTCTACCGACGTCGTCTCAGCTATGGCGGCCCCTTCCGAATGCTGCGGAAATTTCGAATAACGTTACGGAGTTGGGCGGGCGGCGCGCGAGCATTAGCCGCGTCGCTCCTAATTTGGGCGGTCCAGGTAAAGTTACGCCGCTGGAGCGGCGTTGCACTTCTATTAATAGGCTGCATTGGGAAGAGGCCGGCGGATCACTCGCGGTTTTGTTTTTCTTTTTTATTTACGATAGTGGAATCGAATTCACTTTCACCACCTGTTCGTCGAGTCGCTACGAGAGTCGGGCTCCCGGACGCGTGTACAGTTCAGGGCTTTGGTGCCTAGACTGCGGTGCGCGGAGGTCGAATGATGCGCGAAGGCAGAGCGCCACCGTAGTCTATACGCGCGTTGCACACGGCCCTAGTGGGGGGGAGAGCTGCCGCCCTCGCCACCGCCTGCGCTCGCATCAACCCCTGCGCGCCGGAACCCCCTCTCGGGGACTTTGTGGAATCTGGAATCGAGTTTACGCCGTATCAGGTATCATATCGAATTGGACCGCGCACACGCAGACGGCTGCTGTTGATCGACTTATCGCGTTACATACGTATAATTTATAACATGTAACGCATAATTTATTCTCGAATTCATTTCGCAGACGTTACGATTTGTTGTTCAGGTCTAATAAGAGCTTTTTGTAGTTTGTTATTACTAAAGATTAAGAGATTAAATGCTCTAAATAGCAATCGTTATTTAATAATTTTCTTTGACAATTATGTAATTTAATTAACAGTTATTATTTTATGTGCAAACAAAACTACTGCCCGAGTTCATAACAAAAATGTACTACATAGTATGAGTACCGTTCAACGTCGATTCATTCGTCGATTAAGATATTATGACTCTAGTCGTGACATCTTGAGCAATTAGCGTTAATGGGAAATTAATGAAATGATATGTCTTCTTGTTTCTTGATAAAGGTGAAATATGATAGGGTTACGACAGCATACGATGACGAGAAGTCAAAAAGAAACGCAATAAAATCCTTGAAATAGTTTCATTTAACGTTATGTTGCCTGCATGCAGAAAAATTATATTTTGACGTCAGTACCTAATCTATAACAGTTATAGGAAATTCATATTTTTTGAATACAATGTTTAAACATTAAATAAAAAAGTAATTTTCGTAATTACCCGAATTTATATTATAATTAATTACAGAACTGTAGTTTTGGTTTTGCTTTGAACAGTTCACTAAACTACATGGTCAGTTATAGGTACATACAAATATTACTTGATAATGTTACTTACTCATATCGATTAAAGAGTATCAATATAATAACTATTATAGATGCAATTTAATACATCATTATATATTTTTAATATTCAATAATGTTGTGTTACTACGTCCTTGTTATAACATTAATAACTTATAATCTTAAAGTCTGAGACAGGTCCATAGTTCATATTCTTTAAAAGAAAGGTACGTTTTTTTACATTGAGGCGGTAGTAAGTACTTTCCTATTCCTTAGTTTATCTTAAGTTTTTTTTTTACTTTGTATTTGAAATTTATGTCAGAATTTATGTTATACCACCTAAACAAGACAAGTAGAATATACTTATAAAATGTTCTACTAAATACAGTCCTTACATGTAACATCTTAATAGTAATTTGCATAAACTATCAATATTGAACTGACCCAAGAGTAATATACAATATTATTCAAACCCTAGAGCTCATTTCATTTACACTAGCATAGTAAAACGTCATTATTTCTAAAAAAAACAGACGAAAAATTCCAACGCTTGAATATGATGGGCTCTTGACAAACTAATGAGTCATATGCCAAATTCAGACAACTTTGAGTCAGAATTTTGGCAAGGTGATGCGACCATAATAGAGAGAAGGCAAGGGCGGCCTTTTGGACAAACATATCCTCGATATTATCATCACAACAATGTACACATAGTACATTGTTGTGATGATAATATCGAGGAACAATCTTCGTTTGTGATTTGGCTTCGGATGGTGACGCGGTAGGGCGTGAACTCATCGGCACAAAAATAAACAACAAAATATACTTTCTTACGTACACAATTAGTCCAGGAGCATGTCACATCATAGCGGCGGTGTTTGCCAACTTCAGCGCACCTGCCTATCTATTAATATTTTTCTATAAAAATAAACCCGCGCGTGCATTCTGCAGAACACGTTTATTTTTCATGGTTCGAAGATTACCTGCTTACATTTTCTTCATTTTCTTGAATTGGTTCGTCGCTCTGTTCGTTTTCTTGAATTGGTGAATACAAAAAACTTTGAATATATTTCTCCGGTATTGTTACATCAAAGGTAGGAATTAAAATATATTTCTATAGTATATTATTATATATGTAACAAAAGAAAAACCACGGGGTTACAATGCTAATACTACTTACACAATTTACATTTGACAGCAAAGTATTTGTGAATTTTATATTTAAGTATTTGATTCGGGTACAAATGAATTAGTGCACGCGACACATGATGTATATATGCAATTACAATTGGTCATTCTCCATTGACATACTAATTAATCTTAGTTATTGTTCGTTTATGCATGTTAAATTATGTTCTATAATATATATATATATATATAATGAAATACATTGGACAACACGTCTTGTGTATGATGGTATTTGGTAAAAATTAAATTGACATAATTGGAAATGTTAACAGTAACAACAACTTAAACGTGAAAATCTGTAACGCATGTAATTATCTTTACAGAAACCAGCTAGATAATTCCTAACGCAAGGAATATATGTTTTCCTTTTCAAACATCTATCAATGAACCCTAACTCACCATACAAAGATAACTAGTGCTAAGGACATATTTCCAAGTTTATTTAAAAAACGTGGCATATTGTGAAGCTTTCAACGTACAAATGTGAGGCAAAGATTTATTCAGGTAGGAAACGTTAGACTTATTAGGATACACCACTGGGATTCGAACCCGGTCAGAAAACGAGTGAACACTAGTGTAAACATTAATAATTACTAATACTCTATTACAAAGGTTTTATTAATTATTTTAAGCACAAATTTATCAATACAGGTATCATCATAGACACACTCGGTGTTGGACTAGTTACGATTTTAAATATCATAAAGTGCAAGTATTACTTCAGCTTGTTACTTGAATGCTTACTGACATGTGCGTTACTCGCATGTTACTTAAATACTGCATTTATTCAAAGAGCCCTTATGGTTGGTCTGAGGTTGGTTGGTATGAATCACTGAGTAATGTCATAATAAAATCACAGGCCATGTAAAGTCAGTCTCCTTATAAGGCCCGTCATTCAATTTAATGTATGTTCGGAAACTTAAGACGACCTTTATGACTTATGTTTAAATCTGCTGTTAAAAATACCAAACTAATGACGTGTGTTGCAGAATCACGTATCACTGTTCCAGATTTATATTACGATGTTGCACTCATGTTCAATTTAACTTTTTTTTAAATAAATTATAATTGTACTTTAAGACTTAAATTGAACATATGGTAAGTACTCTAGTGACAAAACAGACAGCACACAAGTACTCTGTCCTAATGAACGAACGTGGAGAATATGTCAATAGTAAGATGCTGAGTAAGTTAGCGTTATACAAGAGTTTCATTTACTTACATTATTGTTTGTTGTTATTTTTTTAAATGCAATGAAACTGTTTCATATTCATATACATAGTACGGTGACTGCATAGAAAACTGTTACAAATAAGAGCACTCTTGTGTAGGTACATACCTACATATATTTACCATGTGTGGTAACGAATTAGCTGACTTCACATTACTTTAAGAATACTTCTTCTGTTCTTTTATAAATATTCAGATTTTCCAAATATATTTCTATAACCACCGAACACGTAATAATTCAGTATTTCAAATAATAATTAAGAATTTTATAGGCACCAATTACAACTGAGCTCGCTCATCATTATATTTTTTTCTAAAATAAACTTAATTTAAGGTGAAGCCGTGTTCAACACTTAATAATTTCAATAACGAATGTATAACAACGGGCTTAGTGCGAGTCGGACTCGCGCACGAGGGGTTCCGTACCAATATCTTTAAAAACTGCAAAAAAAAATCTTATCTGATGTATGGGAGGCCCACTTAAATATTTTTTATTCCGTTCTTTATTTGTGTTATAACAGCAAAAGAAATACATCATCTGTGAATGTTTCAACTGTCAAACTGTCACGGTTCATGAGGTACAGCCTGGTGACAGAAGGACAGACAGACAGTGGCAGACTAGTCTTAGTAATAGGGTCTCGTTTTATCCTTTGGTTACGGAACTCTAAAAAACAAACAACTAGGTAAAAAATAAAATATAGAGTATTTTTATTGGGTAACGCTTGGACATGCATCAGCTTTTGCTTGAATAAGCAGGCTTGCACGGGGAAGTAAAAGGCTCTAACAGAAGACCAGCGTGAAGTGGAAGTATTATGTTTTCGCGTTTCGTCTGCTGAGTGAAGTAACCAGTGACCACTTTTTTAAAGGTTAGTCAACGCATTTGCAACCGTTCAGGTGATGTAGATGCCCATGGGCGGCTGT